GAAGTGGGGGGAGAGGGGGAGGAGGAAGAGGGCGAGGGAGGAGGGCCCACTGCACGGAGAAACAGCCCCATCCTCCTCTGCCCCTGCCAGGGGTCCCTTCGCTGCTTCCCCGCGAACCATCCCAGCCCCCAACCTGCGTCCCCGCTCGAGTCTGAGAAAAGGAAGCAGAGAGGGCGCAAAGCCAGCCGGCGGGCTGCAGCCAGGGCGCGCACTGGCCCGGTCTTCTCCGCACCCGGCGCACAGATTTAGAAAGAAGGTCCAAGGCTGCGAAAGGAGACGAGAGGGAGCCAAAGTTTCCGAGGCCCTGGACCCCCAGGGAATCGAGGGCGCAGCGCAGGTGGCCAAGGCTGGGTGCGTTGGCGCCCGGAGCCAGGAGGGGATGCCGGGGCGGGTTCCCACGGCGCAGCCGGTGGAGGGATCGGGCCCGGCCTGGGCGGGCGCCCGTCTCCTGCACGCTCTCCCCGCGCCGCGGGCCGGCGGACTCGGCCGCTCCGCGCTCCCCACGGTGGGGGCAGAGGTCAGTCGTCCCTTCTCTGCCTGCCTGGGACTCTGCCTCTTCCCTCTCCTCCGCCTCCCTCTCCGTCTCTCCCTAGCCTCGCCTTTCTCGGCGCGACGGTGGCCGGTGGAGGTCTCTGGATCTCTCCGCCTGGGGGGCGAGTCGCCCCTATTGTTACGGCCGCTCGTCTGTCCTCCCCAGACTTGCGTCCTCGGCTCGCTGTCCTGCCGCTGCAACTCCCTCTCTGGAGCTTTGTCTCGCCGTCTCTGCCTCCCCCGGTCTCCTGCGTACCCGCTCCCCTCCCTCTCTGCGTCTCAGTCTTTCTCTGCAGCCGTCGGTCTCCCTCATTGTCCCCGCGCCTCTGGAGCCCCTCTCGGAGCCTCTCTGCGTCTCAGCCTCTCCGGGGCTTTTCCAGCTCTCAGGCCGATCGCCCAGGCTTGGCAACCCCCCCCCCCGCCAAGTAACAATGAAAAGCCCGTGCGCCCCGAGCGCCCCGAGCGCCCCTCGCCTGCCAGGCAGGAATGGGATCCTCCCCCGCCCCGCAGGTCGCCACGCCGTCCCTAGGGGAGACTGGGACCCCCCACTCCCGGGTTGTAGAGCGAGAGCAGCTGCGACTACACTGCGCAAAACGGAGGGGGGGCGGGAAGGTGGAAATCAAAAAGCAAACTTTGGCGCGGGTGGGGATCCGAGTGTAACCCTTCAGCCTCCGCTGCAGCTAGAAGATGCCACGCCCCCGGGGCGACCCCAAAGGGGATCAGGCCGAGGGGACGCGTTCCCTGTGGCTCGCCCCAGCCGGACCCGCACTGCGGGATCCCCCAATTCTGCGGGAGGGGATTTCATGAGGTCCGAACTGGCTCCTGCGGGTAGGAGATCCCCCGCAACCCTTGTCCAGGCTGCAGCAAGGAAGAAACCGGGTGTCAGGGAAGGGGGCCGCGAACTCACCCCGCTTGCTCCGGCCGATCTGGCCCAGCTTGGGCGGCCGCTTGTTCTGCCCGGCGCCGAAGAAGTTGTTGGTGTCCTGCAGGCGGCAGGAGAAGATCTGGCCCACGTCGCCGCCGTCGCCGTAGGGGCTCAGCTTCTCGTCGCCGTAGGGCAGCACCTCCGACATGGTCGCGTCCGGGGGCTCCGCGGCGGCACCTCCTCCGCCCGCGTCCCCGCCCGCGGCGGACAGGGTCAGCGGCGCTGGGGCCGGGGGCGGCCGGCCGGGGACCGCCCGCGGGCTGCTGCGGCGGTGGCGCCGGCGAGAGGCCGGGGGACACCGCTAGGGCAAGAGCGCGCCGCCCGCGCGAGCGACCCGGCGAGCGCCCGCGGCTGCGCTGCGCTCCGGCTCGGCGCGCGAGTGGCTGCTGCTCGGGCAGAGGCGAGCAGGACTCACATCCTCGGCGCGCTCGAGCGCTGGGCGGGGGCCGGGCCGGGCGGGGCCGCGAGCCGGGAGGGAGGAGGGTGTCCCTGCGAGCCCGGAGGGCGCGGGACCGAGGAGGGCGCACCCCGGGGAGCCGGGCGAGCCGGTCCTGCCGCGGGTGCGGGCGGCGGCGCTAGTTCGAAGAGGCTGACTGGGGAGCTGCGAGCCGCGGGGCGGCCAGGGGCGGAGGGGGAGGGGAGCGAGGGAGGGCCGCGCGC